TAGCCAGTGTATTGACATAATTGAGCGAAAAATGTGATTTATCTTCTTTTAAATTTACTTTTGTTTCCTTTTTTAATTGTGGAAGCAAGTATAACTATATTTTATATATTTGAGATATTACATTTGTTTATTTATTGCTCTAATCTAAGATTAATACATTTTATTGTTTTAAAGATATTTACATATCTAGTATGTATATATATATATATATATGTATATATTATATACAGGGTGTCCCATAACTCACCTGACAACGCTCGTGGGCAGGTAGAGCGGACTAAACTGAGTCGAAAAATCCTCTACTATTTTGTAATTTTCGCAATAGTTAACAAGATATTAATTACTAAAAATTGCCGAATATTGGTCTTCAATAATTTTTTTTTCAAATACTATCAATTTTACAAAAAAACTGCAAGAGACAAAAATTGTTTATTTTCTTCTCATAGAACTCTAAGAATTTTTTCAGAATTTTTTATCAACTTTTTAGTATTGCATTTTCTTATTTTTACCATCATGAAAATCCGGTATTAAAAAATTCTGAAAAAATTCTCAGAACTTTATGAGAAGAAAATAATTTTTGTCTCTTGCAGTTTTTTTGTAAAATTGATAGTATTTGAGAAAAAAATTATTGAAGACCAATATTCGGCAATTTTTAGTAATTAATCTTGTTAACTATTGCGAAAATTACAAAATAGTAGAGGACTTTTCGACTCAGTTCAGTCCGCTTTACCTGCCCACGAGCGTTGTCAGGTGAGTTATGGGACACCCTGTATATATAATTGCGGCCTCTTGATTGAACGGATCTTTCTTTTCCGATCGGCACGCTTCTTTGTGAAGAGATCAAATAAGGGATAGAAAAAGCTTGGGATCAACGACTTGTACCCTCGAACGGATATACATATCAAGTATGCAAACGATCGCCAGAATTTGTTTTTGTCGTCATTGTGGCGATGAGCAAGATCAGAAGCAGGATATATATCTTTCAAGGTTACGAGATTGCGATGTGGTTGGACAAGATCGAGTTTCCAACTTTTGCCGCCTGCTGCATTCGCTCAAATAATCTGTAGACTGAAGGCTTTCGCATATTTTTCCTGCCCTGTTTGCGCGTCATCGCATCGCGTCATGTCGATCGTCGCCTCGTCGCGCGTTGCCTGTATGTATGTACGAGAAACTGCAAGAAACTGGTACTCGAGAATTTTATAAGGGATTCGATCACTTCTTATATGTATTTAGCGATATTTCTTTGATACATGAGGTGATTTGATCGATTCGATCATTCAGCGACAATCGCTTTCCGCCTACTTTTCGCTTTCGTTTCGCTTTTGGCCATGCGTTCCGACGTATAGGTACTTTCCTCAGGTACGTGCGTCGATCTACTTGCTCAAGAAGCTACGACGTTACGTAAATCGTCGAGTATCTAGATTATCGATGCGTAACCCAAAATGTCATGCTAAAATCGCGACCTGACTCACGATGACTTTGGGCGCGAAACAGGAATATTTCGAGAATCATCGTAGGTATAATAACTCATCGATCTCGAATCAACCAATTTTATTAAATTTAAATGTTGGTATATATTATATTTGATAAGTAAATTGTACAAGTACGACATAGAAGAGATTGAATAATGTCGACAAATTTTTTCATTGTTCAAGATGAAAAATGAATTATTTTCTTAAAGTAGGGGCAAGGTCGTGAATTGACGACAAAGAATAAAGATACATCTTTTCTGATAGCCTTCAAAAATCTTTTACGATAGCCTTGATCGAACGATGAGCTGGGAACGAATCCCACAAATCGCTTGTTTCTGTGTCCGAGATATCTGCCCAATCGCGAATTATATAAACACGACTGGCGCGGATCAATGGGTCGTTATGTAATCCTCCCTGCCTAGGTACGTGGTCGAATACAATGTATGGCAAGGTTGCACGACAGGGAAAATGATTACGTGGAACGCATTCAGATTGGCTTACAGCTGCTGGCTGACAATTAGCGAACAGCTCTATTCGTACATGCAGTTCGATCAAATTAGCACAATCGTGAAGCGTACACTACCATAAATTCTTGAATTCGTATCTACATGTTCCGTTCCATCAGATCTATAAATCTTATTATTTATATGTTATATATTTTATTTTCTCTGCATAAGTCCCCGCAAGATATGACGTATCCCATCCGGGATATCCAAAGAAAATAAAACATAATCGTAAGATATCATAGCATATCCTATTAATATCTTAAGATATTAATAGGATATCTTATGATACCTACCATAATTCAAATCCTTCCACCACACAACATAGTTCTCCAAGAAATGTGCTAGGATGCCTAGAGTACAGCAAAGGTTTGCAATAATCGCAATTGGAAAGTGTCAGAACTATAAAAGATTTATAGAAGTAAAGAATGTTATTTTGGACACAAACGATATGATGTACTACATGCCAATTAAGATATATTTCATATGAAGCTTACAAAGATTTTTATTATACTGAATGTTATACTAAGGCTGTATTCGAAAACATTACTTGGATACCCCCATGTTTCATCCTATCCTTGTTTAACATTGGGAACAACAACGATAAAACGATACACTAAGGCACTTGAGTAACATTTCCGAACGCAGCCTAAGAATAATAAATTAAGAATAATAAATTAAGAATAATAAATAAGCCTAAGAATATATGAATTACAAGAGATGACACATATTACTTCAAATTAATCTTTTATTTCATTATGTAATAATAGGACAACAACGTATTTCTCGCTTCCATAATATGAAATCCTAAAACATTTCCCTTTTATTTTAGATAACAATCACACATGCACACACACATATATATATATGTGTGTGTATATACTTGTGATATCTCATGGAGTTGCTTGGATATCTCACGGATGTCGTCTAAGACGTCCATGGGACCTCACACATGCGGACACTTGTATATCCCCAGGATATCCGTTGGATAACTGAGACCATCCATGGATATCACAAGATTATCGCGATATCCCAAAACGACGTCCGTTAGATATTCCTAGGATAAAGTGTGCTGTGTGTACTCTTAGAACGTTTCTCAATCGACACATATGCATGCACAAAGAGATAAATGACATGTTCCAACCCCCAACAATCAATGGAATTGAAAGGAATTAGGAATTAAGAATGAAAACGAAGAAATCTTCATCAAATGTGTTAAGCTAACGGAACATAATCTCGAGATGAAAGTCTGAAGAAGATGGAACAAATGGAATAAGTTTGCTGTTTTTGGAAAGGCATTTGAGCAACGTTAATGCAGGAATAACAATGTTGTTTCGCTAGCCATTAATCGAAGGTTGTTGAATTGTTGCAAATGAATGACGAAAATATTGGCGTTGAAAGGAAACCAGCCACTTGAGGATGCTCGTCGTGTTTGTAAGAGAAAGAGAGAGTTGCGCTAAGAGGCGCCCGCGTCGAAACGCTGCGCGCGGTGGCGATGCTCCCTGCTCGTTAACCAGGAGGTACAGGTAAAGTTGGCCTTGACGATGTGCCAGATGGGGGTCGAACAAAGCGCTATAAAGGCTTTTGCTTTTTCAATCAGAAAGCAGAACCCTTTCTTTCATCGCTTCAAGCAGTCTCGATATTAAATCGTTCAACATGTTCAAGCTGGTGAGTTTTTGAGGTTGTAATGCTCTACTAAGCGTTTTATAACTATTTTTCATATAATCAAAGTGTGATTTATTTTTATTAAGTATTTTTAGAATTTTGTTCAATCTTGATTGCGTTCAATTATTATCGTTTTACTTTCTTTATAAAAAACAATACGTGTATTATATGTATTATACATGTATGTAAAACTTGGAATTGAAAGCGCTATTGTTTTCTAATTGTTTGCAAAATATTCTTTTTATTTGAACATCTTAGAAATATTTTTTGTAAAATGTAATAAAAGAATATAGATATGTGTAACAACTCTCGCGTTATTGACAAACGTATAAACATTAATGCGTTTTTCTCCATTTCGATCTTATCTTTCTTCTATCACTTATACATCATGTCATAATGTTCGTTAATGAGTATATAATATGCATGATACAATTCGTTCTTTTAGTGCGTTCTCTCCGTTGTCCTAACTATCGTATACGCTGCACCTGCACCTGCACCTGCGCCTGCGCCAGGAGCGGTTTTGGCAGCACCTGCGGCAATTGCGGCAGTTCCAGCGCCCATCGTGACAGCGAGTAGCAGTCAAGTGGTCGCTAGAAATTACAACACGCTCGCCGCAGCTCCACTCGCTGCAGCTCCCGTGATAGCAGCAGCAGCATCTCCACTCGCTCCACTCGCTCCAATCGCCTACGCCGCGTCGCCTCTAACAGCTTACAGCACTCACGCCGTTGCACCTGCTGCATACGCAGGATACGCTGCCTATTCTGCACCACTCCTACTCTAATCCATCGCGAACCGCAAACTCGATGCGCCAGGCTTGTTGAATCTCTATCGCAAATTTCGATGGCAAAAACGATCGATTGACTGCAATTCAAATGTTATCTCACGATATGTCAAGTATTTGTAATACTTTCAATAAATTCTATTTTTCCATCTGAATTTTCATCGTATTCGATTTTTATTCATAATCTATATGTACTTTTTATTAAAAATTTACATCTTTCTAGAAAGATTTTCCCTCTTCTCTCTATAATCAGATAAAGTTTTCTTCGTCTATAAGAAACTTTATTAATTAATTTATTCAATTTAGTCATTGTAATATTTTAACAGTATATTATTAGTTTTACCTATGCATATAATAAAATATTATTATTAGATATTACATAATATACATATAATAATATACTCGTATGTACAAGCATATTGAAAATTATGGATAAGATTATTTAATATTTCCTAGTAAACACATATACACACACGCACACACATATATATATCTTATCTGTAGAAATTCTCCTCAATACTTTTTAGTTCTTTTGATTTGGAGTAAAGCGAAAAAAAGTCGAGAATATATGTATATTATATGAGTTTAATTCGCTCAATACAGGAGTGTCTCAAGCGGTTTATGTCACGACGTAATCAAGGAAACAAAAGCAAACGTGAAAAAGAGAGAGAGGGAGAGAGAGAGAGAGAGAGAGAGAGGGGGGGGGAGAGAGAAACTCGTTGAGATCGTCGACGTCGCGTGGCCTCTGCTAGTAGGTATAATTTTCTCAATACGGTCAGTCCTGTTTTGGTTTCCAGTCCCCCTCTTTCCCGCTTAGTCAACCGGATCTCATCAGCCAACGGAGCGAACTTCAAGGCGATGCCCGCACATTTTTTCTCAAGTTCAAGTTCGTCGAGTCTACCCGCGTGCAGTGAAACGCCGTTGCCTTGATCGGCCCTACATGCTCGTCTACTCGAAATTATATAGATCGATCGATCTTTCTCTCTTGAGATATGATGATCAATATGTTAAACGTCATGTTGTTTTTGGTTAGTCTGATGAAATCCTGCTAACTAAAGCACATCGAGAATATATAACAAGATATATGTATATATTAATTTTTTCGTTATATAGATACTTTTTTACCACCTTTAATTGAACCTTTTAAATACAATTGATTGCGCTTTATATGTATATAAATTCATCTGATATGGTAGCGTCGATAACAGCACTGTAAACATGTTCATCACACAATACACAATAAAATACTTTGTATACATATTACATTTATACATATATATATTTGCATAATATTTTGTGTTAATTCATATAATAATGCAATCGTGAGAGTTGATTTTTCGCTTCTCAGATATTCACATGGAAAACTGTGTATCAAGACAAAAACGCGCTAAGCGTTTGACTTTTGTTAACGAAACACGTACGCAGAGTGCAACTAGATTTACGTGTGCTGTATATTTATAATATAGACGATGTTATATTAATTTTTATTTTTTGTTAATATTCGATATTCAATATCATATAAGCTCTAAAAAAAGATGAGCAAAGTAAAAGAAGTTGTAATAGAGAAATGGACAAATTAAGGAAACTAATAACGTTTTATTTTGTCAAGTTCTAGAACAAGCTAGAGGAAGATGCATTTAAGAGATTAATAGAAATAAATATATGCGAAACATAATTATAGACGTTTAACTCTCTCTAAAGGAAATCTAAATGTATAAACGATAATCTCGTTTTGCTCCCTACGGGCGGCAATTCTATACCTACGAACATAAAATGAGCCCATAAAACTTATCGAAAGTGAATCGACACCTACTCGTGACATTAAAAGACCAAGGATAAACGGTTATCTCGATTCTCCCTCGACTCCTACCAAAACGAATGTAATTGTCGAGATGTATTTGTCAATTGAACAACACGTGTCTTTACGTAATCTTGCAGTAATCCATGCATTGACAATACAGGCTGATCGGCAAGATCGAAAAATATAAATAAGTAACAATATAAATAAGTAATTAAAATCCGTGAAAAGTTACATATTGGCGAGGATAAATGTGAGAGATGGAGATATATATACAGGGTGTTTCCAAATTAAATCGCAAAACTTCGGGAGCGTGTAGAGGAGTAAAAAACTAAGAAAAAAAGTCCTATAGACATATGCTCGTTTTTGCTCCGTTTCAGAGAAATCGAAAAAAAATGTTTACATTTCTTGCCATATCTAGCACCGACATATTTGATTACATTTTCCACTTTCTGTTATGAATTTGTCAGTCGCTCTTTGAAAGCCTTTAATAGTAGATGAATTTTGTCTTTTGCAATATGCCGCGTACGTATTCTAATAGTGAATATGCTGATATGGTTTTTGTATACGGTTTCTGCAACGGTAATGCTTTAAAGGCCTGGCTGCTACAAGAGCCGTGTTTGACAGATGCAATGCTTGTATTGCTGCAAGAGGTGCACATTTCGAACAAAATCTTCATTAAAAAGTTTATAAATAAAATAATTAAAATAATAAATTAAATATATTTTTTTCTTTTTTCGTGATTTCCTGCGAAACAAAGCAAAAAGGAGCATATGTCTATAGGACTTTTTTTCTTAGTTTTTTACTCCTCTACACGCTCCCGAAGTTTTGCCATTTAATTTGGAAACACCCTGTA